ATCTTCATCTTGGGCTATCAATATTGCGTCGTCTGCGTAACAGATAATTTTTTTTTTTTTTTTCATTATGTATCCTCTTTCTTTGTTAACGTTTTTAATAATTTCATCCATGAACAAATTGAAGAGTTTAATGAATCCAAGTGTTCAATGAATCCTCTTGTCTTATTCCGTTGCCTATTTCTGTAGGTTATGTAAGTTTTCCATCTATTCTGACTTCCATTTTGTTGTTTTGGTAGATGTTTTCGATAGTTTTTATACTATCTAGGGAATTTCTCTATTATACAGAAGATGGATTACATCTTTGAGTCTTACTCTGTCAAACGTTTTCTTTACCTTGTTGTTCATCTGCTAAACTTATTCTCTGATTGTAACAATAAAACACTGAAAACTTTGTTTTCAAACTTCCATAAAATTTATTTTAAATATTATCACTACAGCTGTTTCGGCTGATTGCCTTTCTCAAGTGATCTGTTTTGGCTTGGGTTTACAAACTTATAGTCTCTAATGAAATAGGTTGAGGAGGGGAGAACTGTTTGTCTCAAGTTGGTCATTCAGAATTATATCTGTGTTTTTTAATTTGTTTATTTCCATAGATTCTAACAAAGATAGCTTAAGGCCTTTATTTTGAATGTGAAGAATTTTAAATTTGTCATTAAAAGAATGATTATGATCTAGAAGGTGAAGTGCATATGTCGAATCTGTTTTTCTATTCTTGAAAGCCCTTTTATGTTCTGCTATTCGTTTATCAAAGTTTCTACCAGTTTGACCGATGTAAGTTTTTGGGCAGTCGCCACATTGAAGTTTGTACACACCACTATTTAAGTGTTTTTTATTTTGGCTCTTGTTATTTTTAATATATTTGCCTAGGTTGTTATTTGTTCGGAAAGCTGGTGTTATTCCTTTCTTTTTTATGTGCTTAGCAATTTTTGTTGTTATTTTGCCTGTATATGTAATCGAGCAGAAGGTACTGGGTTTTTTCTCTGGTGGTGGAAATACTAATTTCAGGGCTTTCTTGTGTAGTTTTTGATTTAACATTTTATTAATTGTTTGTTCGTTGTATCCGTTGTTTACTGCTATTTGCTTAATTATATTTAATTCTGTCTCAAAGTTGTATTTTGACATCGGAATTTCTGTTAATCTATGTAACATACTATGATAAGCTGCCAGTTTATGTTGTGTTGGATGGGATGACGAATTGTGTATAGTCGTGTCAGTATGGGTAGGTTTATGAAATATGGAGAAGTCATGTTTGTTTTGAAGTCTGCTAATTTTTAAATCTAAAAAATTTATGGATTGATTTTGTTCTATTTCTATTATAAATTCAATATGACTATGAAGTGAATTAATATATGATAAAAATTGGTCGAGTTGCCTGTTAGTTCCTGTGAAACATACCAGTATGTCGTCTACGTATCTCCACCAATATAAAAAATGTTTGAATACGGGATGTCTTGAAATATTTGTCTCTAGATGATCCATAAAAATATCTGATAGCAATGGGCTTAGAGGCTTACCCATTATAAGTCCTGCGCTGTTATTTGTATAAATTTTATTATTAAATTCAAAGTAGTCCTGGTTTATGCAAACTTCAAGAAGATGTAAAATTTCAGATGTAATTATTGGATTTGTACTGGTTTGCTCTAAAAGGTTTTTTACTAGAATAAAAGTTTTTGTAGGAGGGATACTAGGAAAAAGATTTTTTACGTCAAATGAAATTAATCTGGAGTTGTTAGGTAATTGAAAATGTTATATTTTATTAACCAGTTCTATTGTATTCTTTATGGTAAATTTAGGTGAAAATTTAGTGTGGTCTAAAATCAGATATTTTTATGGATCATCTAGAGACAAATATTTCAAAACATCCCGTATTCAAACAGTTTTTATATTGGTGGAGATACGTAGACGACATACTGGTATGTTTCACAGGAACTAACAGGCAACTCGACCAATTTTTATCATATATTAATTCACTTCATAGTCATATTGAATTTACAATAGAAATAGAACAAAATCAATCCATAAATTTTTTAGATTTAAAAATTGGCAGACTTCAAAACAAACATGACTTCTCCATATTTCATAAACCTACCCATACTGACACGACTATACACAATTCGTCATCCCATCCAACACAACATAAACTGGCAGCTTATCATAGTATGTTACATAGATTAACAGAAATTCCGATGTCAAAATACAACTTTGAGACAGAATTAAATATAATTAAGCAAATAGCAGTAAACAACGGATACAACGAACAAACAATTAATAAAATGTTAAATCAAAAACTACACAAGAAAGCCGTGAAATTAGTATTTCCACCACCAGAGAAAAAAACCCAGTACCTTCTGCTCGATTACATATACAGGCAAAATAACAACAAAAATTGCCAAGCACATAAAAAAGAAAGGAATAACACCAGCTTTCCGAACAAATAACAACCTAGGCAAATATATTAAAAATAACAAGAGCCAAAATAAAAAACACTTAAATAGTGGTGTGTACAAACTTCAATGTGGCGACTGCCCAAAAACTTACATCGGTCAAACTGGTAGATACTTTGATAAACGAATAGCAGAACATAAAAGGGCTTTCAAGAATAGAAAAACAGATTCGACATATGCACTTCACCTTCTAGATCATAATCATTCTTTTAATGACAAATTTAAAATTCTTCACATTCAAAATAAAGGCCTTAAGCTATCTTTGTTAGAATCTATGGAAATAAACAAATTAAAAAACACAGATATAATTCTGAATGACCAACTTGAGACATACAGTTTTCCCCTCCTCAACCTATTTCATTAGAGACTATAAGTTTGTAAACCCAAGCCAAAACAGATCACTTGAGAAAGGCAATCAGCCGAAACAGCTGTAGTGATAATATTTAAAATAAATATTGTGGAAGTTTGAAAACAAAGTTTTCAGTGTTTTATTGTTACATAAAATGAATCTCCATCAAGTAACGGTCGAATCCATCAATTATTCTCTGATTTATTAGCACTTGTAAAATTTTAGTTGCAAGTTTTAGCATAGTATTTAACAAGTTTATACCTCTGTAGTTTTCTGGCTGTTTTTATCCCTTTTTTTGAATAGTAGAATTTTTTCGCTCGTTGTCCATTCTTCCGGTATTTTATTGTGTTTTATAATTTTATTAATTAATGTTGTTAATTGTTCTGTCATTGCTACTATACAATATTTCAGTAATTCGTTTGGTATCCCGTCTTTATCTGCTGCTTTTTTGTTCTTCAGGTTTTCAAGTATTTTCCGCAGTTCCTGTACACTTATATTAAGTTTATACACTTTATTTGTGGTAATTTCCTGTGGGCCCGCGTAGCGCAAGCGGTAGTGTGCTTGCCTCGCATGCCGGTGGTCGTGAGTTCGAATCCTACCGCCGGCAAGAACAACTAGGCATTTTTAAAATGTCTATAGGCCCCAGGTCGACTCAGCCTGAATAAAATGAGTACCTTGGGTAAAACCAGGGGTAATAATAGGCGGTTGAAGCGTAGCACTGGCCATGTTACCTTCCTTGTATACCGTAGGCCCTAGATATAGCAGACTACCCTGCTATACTCCCAAAAGCCGCGTGCGGTATAAAACGGGAGACTATTATTATATTTGTGGTAATTTCTTGTATTTCCGGTTGTAGCGTCGTTTGTTCTTTCTCTGCATAGAGCCTTTTTAGGTAGTCAATCCACGTATCTTTTTCTATGTGCTTTGGTTCTATTAGTTCCTTTACCTCCGTTCTTTGACCTCTTATGAAGCGCCATGGTTCCTTTTGCAGACCGTAAAAATCTTGTTCCATTTCTTTTGAAAAGTGTGAAGCCCATTGATAATTTTTTATTTTGGTATTTCAAGTAAGCTTTTTCTTTTCTTTACGTTTTTCCTTCAGTTCTGTACAAAACCATGGAGTTTTTCGCCTTGGGAATGATTTATTTTTATTTATATTTCTTTCACCAAGAACTTCCTTGGCCTAGGCTAAGATATCAGACTTAATGTTTTCCCAGTTTTCTTCGACTGCCATCACTTTCTGTGATATATGTGTTTCTGCTTTTTTCGTTTATTCTTTTTGAAATAGGTATCTTTTGGAGTCATCCTGGCAGCTTTGAACTTTTATCTTTGTAGTGTATTTGTTTTTTATCAAATATATGTTTTCGTTCGGATTTTTCACAATACCAATTTATGATCGCTTACTATTTCTGCTGATGTTAGTGCTCTTACATCTAAGATTTTAGAGGGCTGTTAAAATCACCCATAATGATTATATATTCGTCATTTGGGGTCTCGTTTATTACAGTCTGAAGGTGTTTGTAGAAGTTTTCCCCTGTGATGGTATCTCTGTTGTTTTCTGGTGCATATATTGCTATCACATTCAGAGGTTTGACATCCAGGTTAACTTTTACACTTGCTATTCTTTCAGGGGTATACTTACATTCTTGTACTTGGTGTAAAAATTTTCTGTCTACTAACAGGACGACTCCTTCTTTGGATCTGGTTTCTTTCACAACACCACTATACATATATCATCAGATAGTCATCTAACATAATTTGACCCTTTCCTATTTTCTTCGTCTCTTGTAGTGCACATATGTCTATATTTTTTTTACAAGCTCTTTTGTAATTTCCTCATCTCTTGTGTGTAGGGACTTTACGTTCCAAGTACCTATGCGAAGTACATTTCTCGTTTTCCATAAATTCGTTGTCCTCTTTCTTGCACTAGTCGTCGTAATTATATCATTCCTGTTCCGAGGCGTAATACTGTTTCGATTAGCTGCATGGTTTTAAAGTCTATAAGTAGGGTGCTAACCTGGCTGTAGACCCCTCCTCCTTTATCCGGGCTTGGGACCGGCAACAGTTCTGTCGAGTTACTCGATCCATCCAACAAAACTGCAGGCGGAGTTCGATTAAAAATTAATACACTAAATTGTTTGAATAGTTTAAATTATTTTCTCTTATTTATTATCTTTTTGAATTAATCCAATATTTTTAAAAATGTATAGAATCGATCAACTTCCTTACCGCTGATGGCAAGAAATTCGCCCATCCACTTCACCATCTTGGCAAATCAGAAAAGGATCTGCCACTTATTGCCATCGACAGCTTCAGACACATGTACCTATTCCCCAATTATCAAGACATCCACGTACCCGGAAAACTGAAGCAATTCCTTAAGGACCTCTACTCTGGTAAATTGCACAGAGAGTTCCATTACGGTCCTGATTCGGATAGTAACACCGAACATCAACAAACAACACCACCCGACAGTACTTTCAAGAAATTAGCTCCTTCGAAGAATAGATATACTTTGTTAGGAAGAGACGAATTGTAGGTATTTTTTCAAATTAATAAATCAATTTTTGTTTTATAAAAAGGTACGGTATTGTAGTGACAGACATGAAAAAGGGTGTGATTAAACGAAGTAGTCAAATCAACTGATACGTGAATGTTTTGTAGTTAAAAGTTCCAGTTTTTATTGGTGGGGTAGTAAAAGTTATTTAGAAATAGTAGGTAGTGTAGTTATATATTTTTATTGTTGGGAAGCTATATCTGCAAAGGAAACTGGAATTTTTGCGTTTTAAAATAAATCAGTTATTTGTCTTACTTTCTCGGCTAGTGATGTTCAGCAAAATTAAAATTATAACTAAATTTTATTTTTTTTTTACGTTTTTCAGTTCATAGATTTCTCTAAAACTAAGCCCATCGGTAGTCGGTTCTGTTAAATATATCGGCTATTACAATTTTTGCATAAAATTTACTATATTGCCCGCATTTTATGCCATGTGATTTCCATATTATGTGTAAGCAGTACGTTTCGTCTGACTATTATGTTTGACTTCTCTAGAAAATTATGAATTATGAATTTTATGAAGATTGTTGCAGTTGTTGTGTACCTGGTTTAGTTCGTGGTACTTGAATTATCCATTTATAACACTTGATATAGTGGTCTGGTAGAAAATTGAGTATAATAGGAAATACGTTTATTATTGTTGGGATTTGAATTGGACAAGGGTTATGTGTTTCACTTGTTTTTGTTTGCAGTGTCTTCGGTACAGCAACCAATAGTTGACAATACATGTATCAATAAGATTAAATATTATTCTCAACTAAAATCTTTTTGGTTTGATTTTGATTCTATATAGTTCCAATAGCATGTCATGCAAACAACCCCCCCTCGCACCCCTCCGAAATATTACATTCTTTGACAATTGCTGATTCATCGGCAACATCGTATAGTATGCCGCTGCGCCCTGCTCTTGTAAAACAATTTTATGTCCCATTTATGAGGTTTATTTTTTATATATTGCTTTAGATTACTATATCCTTTGAAATAAACTCATCGATGTTGTTGAATTCATCATATTCGATCTTACTCATATTTTGTCGAACTTTTTCAATGAAAGGTTTTACTTTATATAATTTGTCATTGTTGCTAGACGAGACTTTCAAATGATCGTTGACGTGAAAATATGCTCGCAGTTTATCAAAACGATTACGTGACATGATATCAGCTATCGTATTATATCGCGTTTCTTGTGTCCAATCCATTCTATACGAAGGAACGCGAACAATTCCACTCGATACATGTATGCCTAAGAACTGCTCTATCTCTACTGAATTTGTATCAATATTTTTACTCTCTTTTTGCACAGAAAAATTTTGAATAATATCATTGTCAGAAAACATTTGACAGGCTTATAAATATTTTCATCAACCGAAAAATCACCACTGTAATCGCTGTTTACATCAATTAAATTGTTACCTGCCCAAGTTGGTTTTTCTATGCTTTTTTTTTTTTTCTTGGCATGACTTGCCTGTGGTTCTTCTGTAATTTCTTCAACAGTTTGTTCTTCCATATTCTCTGTAACTTGGGTGTACAAGCTATCTTCAACAATATTTTCCAATAATTCTTCTATTTGAGTTTCTTCAATCATTTCTTCTTCTAAAGACTCTTCCTCATTATCAACATCAAATTTGATATCAAATTTGATGTTTGGTTTTGGTAGTTTTGAATACACGATCCATCTGAAATAAAAAAGTATATTGTACTTTTGTACAATTATTGACAGAAACAAAATTCACACGACTTCCCAATGAATTCCATTTGCCACAGCCCAAGATTCATTGATATTTATAATGGATACAATGAGCAAATTATAATTCAAATTATCAAATAAAAACAATGTAAGAAGCAAGATAAATTTTTTCGTGCAATTACTGTCGTTCGCCAAATCGACATAAGTAGTTTCCTTTGGCACTAAAGCAGAAAACATTGCTATGATCCCAAATGGGATCATCTGACTGGAAAGGGATAGATGTAAATTAAATAGCATAATGTAAAGGCATACTTCAACTTCAATAACAAATATTTCTGTACCAAACATTTTAAAATTCCAAGACTATGCCCCATTGGTAAGAAAAAAATGTAACAAAGTTTTTTAAAATTATTTCGTTTAGTGTCTCAACCATATTCATTCATAATTGTTCCCATATATTAAAAATAAACTTTCTTTTAATATATATATTTGAATATTAATAATTTTTTATTGACTCCTGCTTGAACTAGAAATATGACTATGTCGGAGGCGATCCTGATATTTTATTTTATTTGTGGGTATTTTAACTGTAGGAATATAAATCATTTATGGGTTTAAATTATTTGCTGAACAAATAGCTTTAAATCACTCATGACTGTCGCTACCAAAGCTTTTTTCAAAACCAACTATTTTCAACCTATTTTTAAACCCAATCGGTTATCATTATCAATCCAAGACCGATTGAAAGCTATAAATAAAACGAAATAAATTTAGGAAGTGTTTAATATTTCGTAAGATATTCATTAATGTGACTGCGTTTTCAAAGTTTCTTCAAGTGGCTGAAGATACAGATAATTACAAAACGGTATGAACGTAAAAAAAAATAACAGAGGTGATATTATGGCATAAGAGAGATCATGCCGTTTATCGTCACAACATATCAGTCAGTGTTACCTTCAAGGTTCTCGAGTAAATGTTTGGCATCAACAAGTGGAACCTAGACCATACGCTCGTAAAGAAATGGCAATCTTCTTATAAGAGTTAAATTATTATTGTACGATAACGAAATGGAGATCCATAAGAGAATATTTCACTTAAACCCACGTATAAGAGCAACTGCAGCATCGACATACCCAATTGTCTTTTCCATGATATTCTTTTGTGACTAATATTTACTCCTACTTATAATGTCGGGAAAAATCAAGAGCATAAGGAAGTATTAAAAAACAATCTCGTTGTCTAAAAAACATACTTGAATGGAGGAGATGTAACTAAAAATAAAGGAGACTTACACTAGGTTATTAACATTGTTCAGACCGAACAAACCCTATTATTTAGAAGGAGGCAAAATGTGTTAAATTGAAACAAATACTTCGACATTGTTCTTTAACTAACATGTAATTACATCAACTTTTTTTTTATTTCATTTATAAATAGTTGGTTTTGAAATAAAATCCTCCTAAACATCTATGGATCCCAAAGATTGTTGAAGATTTTTTTATTGTAAGCCAATTCTTCCATCTAAATGAATAATGTTGAAGTTTATTACACATTTCGATGGTTACTCTTTAATATAAATTAATGTATGTATATAATAAGTGTTTTCTTTTTGAGGTATATAACTTTAACTAAACTCAGATAAATTGTCTTATTTGTCATAAAATTGACCTTAGAAGATCATTTTTGTAATTTTATTTAAATATCATTTCTGGCATATGACTGCCATGGCTGGCTCGGGTGTAGTTGAATTATGTCATCAATCGTATCTGACTTATCAACTAGCGATTTCACATATTTCCACTGAGAATAGCCCAGCGTTGTTAACTCCCATGATCATGAATGCCAATTCACAAGTCCATTATTTGAAATTATATACTTACCACACGTTTCCTTTAATAAGTGGGTGATGATACTCTCCTTTGTATATAGCGCCATTTTCTTCAAACCATAGCTATCCCATATCAGGGCGATTCAATTCTGGAACCAAATAATTGTCATGTCAGTCATCGGTGCTCTCTATAGTGAACACATCGACTGTCAATGTTGACCAGCATCGTTTTTGGAAAAGGAAGAACCAATTATTTCGCCAGTCCGTAAATTATACTAGACTGTCAGTTTTTCAGTTGTTTTAAATTTGATGAGTACAGTTCTAATTGTATAGTATTTATAAAGTCAGTTGAAACATCCAAAAACCTGATTGCCGACGAACAATAAAAGAATAATATCATATTACCAGACATGGGCGCTTCATTTATTTTTATAATCAAATATATATTAATGTAGAACAGAAAAAGGACAATTTTAATTTACTTAAAGCTGTCGTAAAGTACATAAGTGTATAAAAATTTTTTAAGCATATCATATTAAGCAACAAAAATAATTTATAATTAAATGGCAATAGCCTATATTGACAGTATAATGATTTAATTATACTTCGTAAAATAATAAACATTTTTGCTGTACAGCACTGGCATGCATCGGCAGCGTTTCTTATATGTACCCTTCGCCACCGGCTAGAATGGGACCTCCAAGTAGCGTGTTAAATATTGGTGATTTTGAATAACATATCAATGTCCAATATTTATTTGATGGGATGTATCTTTCTTCCATCTATTTCCTACGAAGTACGGGGATTGTTCAAATACGTTTGAAAGATTGACGCGTGTTATTTATACTTTAACTTGATTACCGGTAAATGTAATATTGAACTGCCCTTATAAATCAAGTCGGAGAGAAATGTTTCAACTGACTTTATAAATACTATACACGATGGTGGAAAGAGGTTTTAGGTTGCTGTTTGTAAACCTTTCATTTAGACCTAGAGAGTTGAAACTAAAATAACATGAATGATATACTGTTTTACTAATGTTTTTATAATAGAAAGTGCAGTAAAAGCTATTAATAAAACAATTTAGAAGGACTTTAATGTACTTGGCATATTGCCAACTAGTAGTTAAAAAGTTGGAGCAAACAGTATTTCTTAACTTACCTTCAGTTTTTAGGTTAGGTACATCCATCTTCTTCAAAGTTTCAAAGAAACAAAACGATATCTTTTTGTAAGAACTGTAGTTTATAGTAACGTAAAACAATGCAGTTTACAATAAATTATTTACTTTAGCAACAAAATTATATTGTTTTAGAGGAGCTATACTTCAATTTTTTCTTTAACCAAGCCCTACTCATAGTTCGCTTGGAGGATAAGCAACTTGTGGCTAGAAATCAGGACCTGTTTTACGTTTTGTTTTAATAATCAGTAAAAGCTGTTCTGTTGCCCATTTTTCGAAGAGTTCAACCG